GGCTTCTTTTTCGGTGCACGGTTTCGGCACTCCTGTACAATTGCGGTCCCGTTTGTTTACATGACGGCCATTTATTGTGGGAGTGAATCTAGATTTCTAGATCTAAATCTAGATAGATCTAGATCATCTAGATCTCTAGATCTCTAGATTTAAGATTCTAGATAGACAGCATAATCTATATCTAGATCTAGATCTAGATACGTATTTATTAAATTATACTCTCTCTCTCTCTCTCTCTCTCTCTCTCTCTCTCTCTCTCTCTCTCTCTCGGCTAAAATAAATAAATTATAGCAACACAAGATAAATCCAATCACTACCCGAGATGATCAGTAAGTAGGCCTAGCAGCTTTGCATTGCAACCAATGTAAACTACCGCTCGCTCAGCGAGCCAATCACAAGAAAACATTTTTGGGGTCCACCTAAACACCATGACTACGTAGACCCCAATCGGGGAGTACGTAGACACTTCCATTTTATATTCGTGGCGCAACTTATCCTTAGATCAATGTCACCCATATTTTGTACAACAATTTTAATGTAGGCCTATCACTTTGTCTTAGTTATTCGTATTATTTTTCAACAATAATTGAGGAGAAATTTGGAGGGAATTTATATAAATAAAAGTTTTTTTCCCTCCAAATTTCTCCTCAATTATTGTTGAAAAATAATACGAATAACTAAGACAAAGTGATAGGCCTACATTAAAATTGTTGTACAAAATATGGGTGACATTGATCTGAGGATAAGTTGCGCCACGAAATTTTTGACCCCACTATAGAAGTAGATGGAGCTTTATGTCAAGCAAGCCTGATAAAACAGCTTATTAACGATTTCTGGTGCATCAACAACTTTTCTCCGTGGAGGCATGCTTTATTTGGGCAGAATCAACATTATACCACCCGACACTGAAATGAACACGAAAGTGGACTTCAATACAGTCACTAAACTTTTTGTTGATTTCAAGGGGAGAAGGGATATTTTTGATCGTATCACGAAGAGATAATTATTAAGTCTTCACAGAGTAGTCTATTTCCAATAATCTCCCTGCATGCTTACTCTATTAGAAACATAAAGTGTATACGTGTAAACACGCTCGCAGTCACCAGGATATTTATGTTTAAAAAATTGATTGCCAATTGCTTTCATCATTTTGACGAATGAAACAATTTGTATTAATATAGTATGATGCTCAAGGGTTAAGTTGAGGATTGAAGCTTAACAGATTCGCAAAGCAGAGAACTTTAGACTGATTTATGAAAGGTGAGTAGATAATACACCCAGTCGCTCGGGAAAGGGTTAATACGTTGTCTGCCAATGAGCGTTGAGGTTTGGGACACACAGAGGAAATCATTGGCTTTTTATATTCCATCAACATTTTTGTGAACACCATGCTATCGTAGGCCGACTGTTAGAGGTGGGCAAAATCCGGATAATCTATAAGGATAACCGGATAATTCTCAACGAAACGTTATCCGAATTCAGACTCTTTAACTCTCTTGCCTGACCCGTTTGCCAAAGTGGGTGCACCCATGATTTGAAGTATTGCTAACCCGTGTGTTAAAGTTGTTTTAACCGATTTGCCGAAGCGGTTCATGTCATATTATTTGCCGAAGAGGTGGACTAACATGTTATCCGGAATTTAGCTAAAGCGACTCATTGCCCAGCCCTACCGACTGTACGCACTCAAGATTTTGTATAATAGGTCACTGGTTGAAAGAATGTTTCAAAGAGGTCAAGCCTCTCTGTGGGTCAAGCCTATCTTTGGGTTATAATCAAGGAGTTTAGAGCTAATGGAGCCTCCTCTCTCTCTTCGCGGCGCCACGAGCAGTACGCCGCGGTGGGGATCAAATATGGCCGCCGACTGTGGGC